AGAAAAAAATAACCTTTTAAGAAATAAAATCAGTGAATAAAGTTAGTCTAACATACAGTACAGAATTCTACACAACTTTGATTTGGAAAATTTGATAAGTTGTATGTCATTTTCAAAATGTGCACTGAAAGTGTCACAAAAAAAATCTAGGAAAAAAAACCCAAAATACAACTAAAATTTCCTGTTTCCCCATCATGTATGCACAAAAAAATAATAACAACCTACCCAAGAAGTCAAAAGAGAAACAAATCCTTCCGTAGTGGGCACATAAATTAAATGTACCTTTTCGCCTGTATCTGACCGTGTGTAATGTCAAGACTGACATGCCCCACACATGAAATGCATAAGGAGGGAAATGCCCTTACAGGCACACAACTCCACCATGCACACATCCCAACCTTCAACTAACATGGCCTTAGGCAATGTTGCTGCAATAGGTTTTCTTTTTGGCTACAGCTTGATATCGCCTCCCACAGATCACAGATCTTTCCAAGGCCGAGATGTAATAACAATGCTATATGGTCTCTGCTGTCCACATGATTCTTTTCATCTCAAGAGGAGATCCATCAATTTCGATTGTACAAAATAATGGTACAAAAATATAACAAGATACTTTCTCTTCCCTATTTTATCAAAAGCTTAGGAGATACACTTAGAATCAGAGATATATATGCACGCAATGTTATGTACGAGATGCACAGCTGGTCTTGAATGGCTACAGATTGCACAAAACAGGCACAGAATCATCCGAACATCTGTTCTAATTCATGTAGATTATCCAGAAATTCTGGGAAGACATTCATTATTAGATTAAATTTGAAATTCCAGATACACAACTTACAATACAATAGTCATAAAATGTGTATTTACATTTATGGTGAATTCTTACTTGACAATATTGTAATATTGGACAAACCCTAAACAAATAAATACATATTATTAAAAATTTGCAACAAAAATCCCTCCTAGTATTGATACATTTCAAATCAAGTCGAATTCATAAAGTGAATGTCCTTTAAGTGAATGTCCAGTAAAAACACCCTTAAATTATATATAAAATGTACTGAAATAAAGCAACATTTTGATAATTAAACGGGAAACAGTACAGGGGGGAAAAAATGAGAACGCAAAAAAAAAAAAGAGTAGCATTAATTTACTGACATCGTGTAATTAATTCATCAGATATGCATTCGTATTAAGTGGGTGATTAGTATGACTCAAATAAATCGTTCCCACTTATTTTTCTTCATTGAGTTTCGGTTGAGTGTTATATAGCACTGCATTCATAATAATGTTAATTTTTGAACTTTCAATGTATGCGTACACCGTATTTCCTGAAAATTAATTTAAAAAATTCTTTCCAAGGCCAAGGTCTCCCATTCAAACGAGCTTGATGGGGGAAGTGACGACAGCACGGCTGACTCACTTTAAATGCGCAAAGAGCGGAGCGGGGAAAGGCGCCGGTTAGCCAATCGGAGGGAAGCAGGGGAGGGGCTTCTCGCTGCTATACCAGCTAGGATTTTGGAGGTAACGCAAATATCGTTAAATGTGCATAAAAGGGGATAGTTCACTTAACGTGTTCGGCAGAATAATTTAAAAAGCCGATCGACGTATCGGTGGTCAACTATCTGCTAAATCACATCCCCCGTGTATTAGATTTTTACACCGAGCCGCCTGCATTCCATTAGTGATTTCGTGAAGAACAGGCTGCCTGGCTGGCTTGTATGAAAGCATGTGGTCGCCAGTAAAAAAAAAAAAAAAAAAAAGGAAAAACGTGTAAGCGTTCAGAAGTGGTATTTCTAACATGACTTGCTATTACGGACAATCAGCCATAAATATGTCACGATGGCGGGCTTGCTTTCCCGTACCCATCCTTGTCTCTGCTAACGGTGGCCAGCCAGATCCCGGGAATATCCATGCAAAGCAATCCAGAGCATGTGCAATGCTAACGTAAGCTAGCCACTTACTGGACAGAATGTCTTCCTTATACAGTAAAGGGCTGAGAACCAGCATCGTATTTGCTTTAATTATTATTAGTTACTCTTAAATCCACATCAAATACGTAACAAATCATTACTTTTCTCATAACTTTTATCAGAGATGTATTTGCTGTACCGAGCTAAATAGCTAGCCAGCTAACCCACGCGATGCACTTCTCCCCTTCCCGTTGTATTTTTCACATTAAGTAGGTAGCTACCTGCGTTTTCCGTTGTCGTATCCCCTTACAGATATCTGATTCACCCACCAGCCTGCGAAATGTGAATAATTGTTGGCTAAGTTAGGCGTAACGTGAAAACTTTTTTTTTGCCTTACTTTATCCATGTATTCCCCTTCTGTTCTAAAAAATGGCGGTTTTCAAATAAGCATGGCTGAGATTTAATCAGCGCAGCTTTCATCCATAGATAACAATTATACGAGTTTTAGTTACCAGTAAAAAGCGAAATGTATGAAGCAGACCCACTTATATATTTTTTTTAAATCATACATTAGCTACATAGCCACCCAGGATTAATTATCTTTTGTAATTTGACGATTTTCTTTAAATTCAACCTGTATCGTTCTAATAAACGCATCGCGAGTTACAATATAATTCCTCTGAAGTTATGTGAGGAAAAGGGCGTTTTTCCCTGCTGTAAATGTGAGCCTCCCTCGCTTACCTGCTGCCGCCGCCGCCGCTGTCTGTGTCTGTACTGTAGTACAGTAATCGGGAGATTTAAGTACCCGGATGAAGTTATTCATTGTACATACTGCGCTCGCGCTCGCAGCTGTAGGGAGACATGTGCTCGCGGGCTGCCCTGCCCACCTCCCCGTGTCAAACGGAGGGTGCCTGCGCGCGCTCGTTATTGCCATGGCCACGATTTTATCGATCATTTTTATTCCATTTGGTTTTGTGAAAATCATATTTTCTTCTGGCGTCGGTTACACGGCCATTTCTGATTAACTGAAGAGGTTAGATCGTTTTGTTTTGTGAAAAGCACTGCATATATTTTCACACTAAACTGGTGTGGGTAATTATCAATTACAGTGGTAGTTTGCTTGACGGTGTAGATTTTTTACCGATTGCTTTTTACTCCTATTTACCCTTCTGCTTAATAGATTTATAAAAAACCGTTGCTCATGTTTAGATATTTGTACATGCGTGTACCCGTGGCATTTGTAAGGAGTATGATTAAATGGAATTTACGACAGACCTTCTACTGACTTTTTAAAATGGCCTATCAAAATGAATTATGCCTAGTGGAACACGTATAGATTTGTGTAATTTGCTTTGCTTGGGAATGATGTATAGGTTGTACATAAAATATAACCGGACAAAGGTCACAGCAAATGACTATGTACTGTGCTGCGGGAGCTGCGAATCTCCCACCTAAAACGGATTTCAGGAACAGTGTTATGCTAGGCCATCAAAACAATATCGTAGATGATATTTTAATAACATCTTACCTATTTTTACATGCAATTTTCTCTGCACTCACTTTTAACATGGTCTTTTTTTACATACTATAGACATTTAGGTGTTTTGTCGCCTCCTACTGGAAGGTCCTGCTTATTTCGAGGAATTGTAAATGGGAAGATTTTTATTCGGCTACAACCGCAAAAGGAGCAAATTGTTGACGGAAAGATGATGCGCGACTGCATGAACAGAACTGTAAAGAGTCTTACCTGACGAAACGGTATTACGTTTTTCTTCCACACAAGGGTAATATCACATTGCGTACCGTGATCTTATGACATACTATATCGCCGCCAATACGTTCTAATACGAGACGTGACTCTGGAGCAGAGTATGCTTTCCAAAGAAAAATCCTGCTCTGCTGTGTTGAGAAGTTTTAAATGGGTTATTATTCATTTATTGGCCCCTTTCTTTAGGTATAGTGCTAGCAGTTATGTTCTCTCTAGTAATTTTGACTAGCTTCAACTCTTCACCCATTCACACCTTTGTAGGATAACAATTTAATTTCCTTTCGTATCACAAGTGCGTTGTGTCAGGCTCAAGAATAATGTATCAGACAGCAACTGGAATATGCATAGTTTGTGCATGTTAATTCTGTTATATAAAGGTACAATTTAAAATTATAGGTATAAATCTCTAATACCTGAATATGGTTTGTTGGAGCATCTTAAAATGTGCTGAGGAGCAGTACTAATGATGCCCACGTCAACAATCTAAACTGCAATAGTGTCATTTTTAAATGAATTGGAAGCTGCTCGTGTGTTATTGGCAGATTTAGCACTTGTTTTAACTTCTTAAAGGAGAAATATGAGATGTTATCTCTAAAGAAGAACAGGAGTGTACCATCCATATTCTGAAAGCACTTATCCTATTCAGGGTCGCAGGGGGTCAGAGCCTATCCCTATGGGTGTAAGGCAGGGAACAACCCCGGATGGGGCACCAACCCATCACAGGGCACACTCACACACCATTCACCTACTCAGGCATACCTGTGGGCAATATGGTAACTCCAACTCACCTCAGCGTGTTTTTGGACTGTGGGAAGAAATCGGAGTACCTGGAGGAAACCCCACAATGACACAGGAAATACATGTATATTCCACAGACACCTGGTAGACACTCGAACCCTGGTCCCAGAAGTGTGAGGTGACAGTGCTAATCACTTTACCACCATGCCATCCCTCAGAAAAGTAACTCAGTGTAAAATCTGCCAGCAACCTGATTGTTCATTAATGGGCATCCCTGCCTTCTCTAAAGTCTGCTCAGCCACGAGAGGTTCAGTGGATTGGGGGTTTTTAATGTGTTGATAATTTAAACAGCTAATTTTCTGAAATAAACCTTTCTTGGTTTTCCTGTTATATAACCAGATGTATTTTTTTGTCATGTAATCCCTCACGCCCCTGCATAGGACAAGCAGTATGCAAAATGAATGAATGTATGTATGTATGTATGCGAGTAATAATGCATTGTGTTAATTGCCTATTAGTCCTTCATGCATTAAGGAAATGGTTATTTGGAGAAGCACACAAATAAAGACACTGCACTCTTCCAAGAACATTCACTGTATTAAAAATCTAACATACATTTGTAGTTCTTAAAGTTGTAGCTGGAAGCGAATATTTCGCAGATACAACATTCAAGTACAAGATGCAAGAATTAAGAATTTTCAAATCCTTTGTGTGCTGAACAGTGCCAGGCCTGAACAGCTTATGTATTTTTATGTATTTAAAGGGGGGGGGGGGTGCTGTTCTCTGATATACCTGGATCTTCTGGTCACCAGACAAATATCAGAATGGTGCCGGTGCCCCAGTGACAGAATGAGGATATGTGTGAACACACAGTGGCCCAAAGGCTACAGCGCTAATCAATAGTGCTTCTTTCAGTGCTAAAACTTTCAGTGCTACCTCTCCACTGTGTATAATCAGGGAGTATTTTATCTGCAAAACTTATATCTAATAATCTTTAGCATAAAGAATAGTTATAGCCAGATGCCACATTTAAGGCATTTTTGTCTTACTTCACCACTGCACCAGTCTTTTAAAAGAAAACTTAAGACAATTGAAATTAATTGTCAGGTCTAAGAGTTTACAATTCCCTGTTAAATTATACAAGGAAACGGTTATCTAGTAGATCTGAATGATCCCCTTAGAAGTTTACCATTGCATTCATGTCTTTCCCTTTCTTGGCATATCTATAAAAAATCTGCTATAACCTTATAAATAAGTGGTTTTGCACAGTAAGTGTTTCTTTTTGGTTTCAATAGTATATAACGCAGGTGTTCCTGTACTTCCTGAAAAGTAGAAATTCTCATCTGAAATGATATTACACCTAATGCAAACGTTGGCAGTTCTGTTTGCAGCTGACGACTGACAAATAGTAAAACAAAACTGAATAAGCTAACAATGCATTAGTACTGAAAAAGGGACCTTTTACAAAAGCCTCAGTCATTGAGCCATTCAAAAACACATCCAACTAAACATTAAGGCACATAAACATGGCAATGAGTCATAAAATAAATCATAAACAGACAAATGAAAAATAATGCAGAAATCACGTCTTAGAAATGTTTCATAAAACAGTTTAAAAAAGGAACACAAATACATAGCAGCAGTGGATAAACGTGTTATGATCTGTAATTCGGGGTTGCGACTAAGCTGAAGGAAAACATGTATGTTTTAAATTTATGGTCAATAGACAATAGTTTCATCGCTACGGAGACCTTTTTGTCAGCTCCCATGCAGGGAAGTCAGGGGTCTTGCAGGCAGTAACAGGCCCCCTCCGTCTCTTCTGCTACTCTCAGCCTCATCTCACACAAGACTGGCGTCAGGATCCCCTTGAGGGCTTCGTAAACTGCTTCCCCCTCGTTAGAATCGGGCCCCATCTGGCGGGAAGCAAGGCGTCAGGTGGGTGTGTGCGCATATGACCAGAGCGTCTGGAGGCCGGAGCAAGCCTCCGCCAGACTGAGTGACACCCAGCGCTCGACGGGTTCCAGTGGAGAATGAGCTATCTGGCCTTCTGGGATTGAGTGTTAAACAAGTACAGCCAATGGAAGGATAGCCTCTGCGCTAAATTAGTACCACCAATGGGAGCACAGCCTCCACAGCAAATGAGTACCGCTGATGGGAGGATAGCCTCTGTATTAAACGAATACTGCCGTCTGGAGGATAGCCTCTGTATTAAACAAATACCGCTGATGGGAGGTTAGCCTTCGCGGTAAACGAGTACCGCTGATGGGAGGTTAGCCTTCGCGGTAAACGAGTACCGCTGATGGGAGGTTAGCCTTCGCGGTAAACGAGTACCACCGATGGGAGGATAGCCTCTGTATTAAATGAGTACCGCCGTCTGGAGGATAGCCTCTGTATTAAATGAGTACCGCCGTCTGGAGGATAGCCTCTGTATTAANCTGTATTAAATGAGTACCGCCGTCTGGAGGATAGCCTCTGTATTAAATGAGTACCGCCGTCTGGAGGATAGCCTCTGTATTAAATGAGTACCGCCATCTGGAGGATAGCCTCTGTATTAAATGAGTACCGCCATCTGGAGGATAGCCTCTGTATTAAACGAATACCACTGATGGGTGCTGCCATGTGACGCCGTGTGACGCCATGTGACCAAGGTGAAGGGAGGAGAAATCAGCTGACCTGTGTGAACGCTTTTATTGTCCGCTGCAGAAAAGCGGCCTCCAGCTCTGCTGGAATTGCTGCCACACGGGCCACGCAGTTGAGGATGCACAGCAGCGTCTGCCTGGGGCCCTGGATTAAAGCAAAAGAGCGGATGGTCTTTAAGCCGAAGCGGCATCCGAGATCTCGCATGACAGAAGGCAGTTTGTTCATGTCATAAAGCAGTCAGATATTCACACGGTATCCCCCGGAATGGCATCCAACAATTTAAAAAAAGCAAGAAATAACCTGTTTCCTGTTAAACCTGGCCCCAAGCAGTATCTCTGCACATCATTACTTGGCAACGACCGTTCCTGTCCACGAAAGTAATTCTTTCAATCATCTAAATCCTACAAATGCATATTACATTTCCTTTTAACGAACATCTCCATATAGGCGCAAAGCATTTCGTTTTTCTTTCAGCCCACCAAGAAACATATTGAGAGATACTGAAGATACTGAAATACACTAATACTGATTTTTGCATGCATATCAGCATTAAAGTGGATCTATATCCAAGCTTTATAATCAGACATTAGGAGCTGCTGTTTGCCGCACGATCGCATTACGGCAGCCTGTAGGTCTGCTCACCTTGTCCAGGCTGTCCAGGGCCTGCCAGGGCTCCAGCCTGGCCAGCGACTGCACGTCCTCCTTGGAGATGACAGGCTCCTTCAGCTGCTCCAGCCACGACCACATGAGGCCGGCGAGGACGAGGGGGTCTCTCTCCACGCACAAGCGCTCCCACGCTCCTTCCCTGGAGTTCAGCTCACTCTGCAGGACCGAAGTTACAAACTGGCGCACACCTCTCATATCAGAGAATAGTACCGAAACGATACCGCATGGTCCCTGCTGTGCTGCCCTGGCCCCGCCGTGGGAGGGGAAACCCACACAGAGCCATATAACTGCTATAAATAAAATAAAATGAAAGCAAGGATGTTTACAGCTGGTACCCTGCTGAATTGCAAAGCATGGTGTTGTTTTTAACCCTTTTGAATCTCTTTTGAAACCCTTTTGAATTAAAGGTATTCCTCAACCTTACAAACGTCTGACTTGCAACACTAACCTGCACCTGTTTCCCTGATTGCCACACCCTGCTCCACGCAACACGCCACTGAACTGAGTCTAAGACACACCATACACTTTGTATATACCTTGTATATTGTTTGCGCTTCATGTACATTATGTCTTTAAATTAGATGTGCTTTATACTGAATTTAATCTGTACTGGTTTGATCTATAGTATTGTAATGTACTGGAGAGACACCAACTGCCGGAAACGAATTCCTTGTGTGTGCCACAAATGCCCAGTGGTAAGACGACAGATTCCTGCCTTCTGATAGCGTTCAGTGGTCTTGTCAGGACGTCCTTAAGAGAGGATTTCAGCTCTGAGTGTGATGCCACGTCTGACGTATCTGCCTTTGAAATGTCAAGGGGGTTTGGCACGGGAAGCCATCTCCTGAAGCTGCTGTTCATCCCACGGTACTGATCTATCAATTCTATTGAGCAAATTATATATGATGAGTTTTGGATGGTCTCAGTCATGGCATGTGGGAGTTGCTTTATTCACAGAGATATTGTGCTGTCACGGCGATGCAGAAATGAAAGATATTCAGATCTAATGCATCTCCATACAGCAGGCCCACGCCATGTGTGGGGGGGGGGACGACATAAGGGGGTGTCGCATCCTCAGATGGACTAAATTAAAGCCTAATTTTAATGATTTTTCCCCCCATTTATTTTCATTTTAAAGTACTAAAACATAATTCAGCTCGGCATAATTCACTAAAACCAAAGCAAATCCTCACAAATCCACTTGATTTGTTGGCTAGGTGGCCATGAGCTAATAAACATAGCGTAAGCTTGTTGGGTTGCATTGTATGGGGCAACGTTTGGCGAATTTCCCATGGCATTTCAAAAAGTTAGCTAGCTGCTTTATGTCGGTAAACGTTGATGGCTCTGTTGAAACCAAGCTAAGAGAGGTGCCGTCGTGCGATGTGCGGATGTTTGAGGTTCAATGATCTGCTAGTGTGTGTGTGGTAAGATACGCTTGTTAATCGTAAAGTTGTGAGCAGCGTGCATTATTTTTTTGGGGTTAAGTCACCTCTCTCTGCCTTTCAATTGCAATTGTTCATTTTCCGTTGGTGCCGGTGTTGCTATACAGCAGTGACGTGCCTACTGACCTGCCAGCGTAAGACCTCGTTTTTGCGCTTCATCCCGTCCTGGTCCAGTTCGGAGGCCAGGGCCTGGGCCACCAGCAGCCGTCGGACCTGTGGGGAGATCTCGGTCTGTATGCTCCCAAGGGGCCCCTCTGTTCTGCCCTCCGCATCGCTGCCTCTGGTGCTTGCCGATCCAGCGATCTTGGAGGATGCCTCGTACGGGCTGTCTGACAGGTCCCCCGGGGCTCCGGAAACACTGGCGCTGGTGTGCTGGTTCATCCTCAGGGGGCCTAGGGACACTCTGTGCCGCACCTCGCTCAAGGGCCTCCTGCGGGAGAGCGGAGGGGTGCTGTCGTCCATGTCGAGCCGCCCCCTGGGCTCCCAGGCCGACAGGGGGGACCATTCACTTTTGAAAGCGGCAGCCCGGTGAGCAAGAGGAGAGCTGGAAAGGGGAACCGCTGCTAGATCGTCATAAGATAAACGCGCTTTGCTCAGGTGGCCAGCAGGGGGCAGTCCTGTCAGGAAGGTCAGTGGACCCTCCGGCCAGCTTGGCACCAACCTCACACTGTGGAGGTCTGACTCGCTGTAGCTGCGGGTCTTCCGGAGGTCGGACGTGGGCTTGGCCCATTCCGTGCTCTGCCTGTTCCACGGGTCTGGATCTTTGGGAAGCGGCTCTGAGGGCAGTTTGGCCAGGGTCGGCGGACCGGAGGCACAGGGTGGCGTCACGGCGATGCCTTTACCGATCATCTCCTTGCCAAGCTGCTGGATGGCTTGCTGGGACACTGTCTTCTCCACCTCGGCAGTGAGGTCCGGGATCTCCATAATCACCTCCTCCTCGGTGGCCTGCCGGTCCTCGGCAATGTCCAGTAGCACCTTGCATGCCAGCTGTACGATCTTTGGCACGTTCTTCAGCCGCCGCGCCTCATAGCCGTGCAGCAGGTGGCGCTGGCGAGTCAGGTACTGACTCAAGGTGACGGGGTTGACCCGAGGCTCGGCTCCGGAGAACACTTTCCTGAGTGGTACCAGGAATTGGGCGAACTCGCGCACACACAGCAGCTGGCCCCGCGTCTGAATGGAGTTGGGTCGCTTGGCTCGCACGAAGAGGATGGCCTGGTCGGCGCTCATCCGCGTGGTGAATACCAGGTAACACGCCATCAGCACTCCTGCGTGAGCAAGCCCCACACCGCTGGTGACCAGTCAATCATCAATCCAAAACGGTGATAATCAGTCACCAATCAATCCATAATACTGACAATCCATCAAACAATCAACAACGCTGATCAATCAATCTATCCAACAATCAATCCATAGTGCTTGTAATCAATCCATCAATCATCAATGATGATCAATCAATCAATATGCCCATCAATTAATACACAATGCTGATGATTAATCAATCAATCCACCAATCATTCAAAGCAGTAATCCAAGCAGCATTGCACAGTGTAGCCCTGTCACCTCACTTCCAGGGCTGGCTTTTCACTCCACCCCTGCTCTGTGTGTGTGGAGTTGGCAGCATCTCCCTGAGTCACACGGGATTCATCCAGGTAACTCCACTTTCCTCCCCCAGACCAATGACATGCAGCCGGGCTAACCAAGGGCTCCGGATTCCCCATAATGTACATCTGCTGTCGACGGTTCACATCTCAGAGTCGGCAGAGTGTTTTAACCATTGGGTCCTTGGCCCCCTCCTCCCCCAACCTTCAATTATTCCACTGAGCGCCAATTGCATATTGCTTTAGATAAAACCTAATTACAATTGTAATTAAAATTACAATTATTATAATAGTAATTGGAAAGGCTTGAGGGCTCCCTGAAACCCGCCCCAGCACGATGCACTCTAAACAGGATGCACCCACACACAACATGCAACTAAAGATGGCAGTTAACATTCCAAGTATGTCTTTGGACTGTTGGAGGAAACAGAGTAGCACAGATCATAAAACGGCACACTAAAGGGGCAGCTTCAGCAAAAGAAAAAAGATCATTTAGAAACATTACCAAACCATGCAAAATAGTTTTTTCGTACCTGTTCTCCCCAGGCCAGCGTGACAGTGGATGGCCAGTTTCCCCTCCTGAACGGCGAAGGACATCACCTTCACCATGTCCAGGATGGTGGTGAGAGAGGCCACGCCGTAGTCCTTCCATCCGAAATTGTAAAAGTAAACTGCGGGTTTAGAAACGTCCTCAGTCACCCATATGTTTATCTGTCCGTCCATTTTCAGAAATCACAATTCAAATACTCCATCCACCACCAAAATATAACACTTTGCACATTGCCATCCCTCCTACGAACAGCAACATTGCATTAGTCAAATGCTAATTTTGTAAATGCCTCTTAAATCGAGAAAGATTCCCTCCATGTAACTGAGCACAGACGCATAAAGCCATTACCTGCACTCAGATACGGCACCTTTCAAAATCAAATTTTAATGATGTGTTTATGCAAAACGCACGAGCAGTTACTGAAATGAGAATGCCCTGAGGAGCTGGACTGCAAACTCAGCTGCCGGTGATGACTCAGCAGAAAGCAGTAAGGCTGGTGCTGCATTAGCGGGTGTGCTAACGAGGACGTGGGGGGGGGGGCGCCACTCACTGCCTGCTTCCATGAAGGCCTCCGGCCTGTACGTGAAGCCGCTGGCCTGCTCCAGGGGCTTCCCGCAGCTGGCGTGCTCCCCAGGCCGCTGCAGGTTAATAACCGTCTTCACGCCGCACCTGCGCGGGCGTCAGACATGAGCGAGGGCCCCGCCCAATGGCAGCGAGGGCCCCGCCCAATGGCAGCGAGGNAGCGAGGGCCCCGCCCAATGGCAGCGAGGGCCCCGCCCAATGGCAGCGAGGGCCCCGCCCAATGGCAGCGAGGCCCGCGAGCTGGCGGCCATACCTCTGAAACTGCTCAATGACGTTGTATTTCACCATGACCTCGGTAGAAGGCCTCGCCATCGCCAGCAGGTTGTCGGTGATCCTGAAACGCAGAGAACGTCCGGCTGTGAAACCAGATTAACCCTCCGTAGGGTCTGCTAATGCTTCAGACCTTAAGGGCACTATAGTTTCTATTGTGAGTCTATTAGGGGGCATTTAAATTAAGAATTTCGAATGAATGTTACACAAGGTGCCTCAAGAGCAGGGCTACAGTCAGACAAGTGTAAAGACACAGTCATGCTCCAGAACCTGTGGCTCACATTTCGTTTAATTTTCTAGCAGCAGATGTTGACAGTTCAGGTCCAGAAATTGCAAATCCAGACCAAGATTTTGCTTCAAACAACCAGTTGAGTATAAAAAGTCATAGTCACAGAGTAAACTGGTTGGTTAAAACAAAATCTTGGTCTGGATTTGTACTCTCGACCTGAACTTTCCACCTCTGGTAGGAAATCAGAATTTCAAATTCAATGTGTTTCATTCTTAAATAATCATTTTCAGAATATGACTGAAAACCTGCCTTTGAGTCCACTTGAATTCTAAAACAGCCATTTATAAATGCCTGCAGATTACGTTCAGATAATCAGCCACGTGTCAATCAGATATGCACGCAGTACATGCGGAGCAGCAGGAGAGGAGGTGCAGCACTCACCAAGAGGAGTAGAGCCCTTTGACGGCCTGCTCGCCCTCGCTCCAGCGTGACGGGTTCTCGTACTTGCAGGAGCGCCCCCCGCAGGCCATGGAGCACTGCATGTGGCCTGGGATGACGTGCCGGAGGCGCTCGCCCACCTTGGTGTACTTGGCTGTAGGTACCCGACGACCGGTGACTGAGGGGGGGGGGGACGACACGGCAAGCGGTGATGAGAAAGGAGAGCAAGGGGAGGTCCTGGACTTAAAACACGGACACAGTCATGAAAACAAACTCCTCGAGAATAAAGAGAATCTGCCTAAAGTTGTTTAACGTCCTTAAACCAATTTGCCCATCTAGTCTTCTTCTTGAAAGCCACTGCCCCCCATAATCACGCAAATGACTTCTTCTAAACCAGGAGTACAAACAAACGAACAAACAAATGAATGCGCGAACGAAATCCAGTTTCTCCTGAGCGGGCAGTCAGATTCACACTCCCTCCATCCCTCCCTCGCTCCGTCCGGGACCTGGGACAGCACCCGCCATGCTGAAGACCACCATTAGCCTCTGCGTGGAGCGGGTCAGCCCCTCCACCGCGGAGCCGCGTCGCATCCAGGGGACCTCGGGGAAGACGTCAAAGGCCGAGTGCCAGCAGTGTCCTGCCGGGGACCGGGGACCGGGGACCGGGCCGCCACATTCCGACCCCGCGGTCGAAGTGAGGCTAACTGCCGGCGAATCATCGCGGCACAATAGGAGTGCGGCTCAGCTGAGCGTGTGGCATCTCCATGACAACCCATCCCTAAGTCAGCAGTGGTGGTGACGTGCTCACAGGTACCTCTTATCTGCACAGATTAGCTGTGCACACCAGTGACAGCAATATACGTATGTGGTTACCTGGTTATGTGCAGACAGGCCAGGAAAAACACTGGGCCCTGAAACTAATCGCATTTCTCTCACCATAGGATGCTACTAAACTTAATCCACTTTATATTAAGGATTTCAGCTTGCTACTTATATTTTTAAGGTATTAAGGTACTGACACCTCTTGAATGGAGAACATTACACGGAACAGAATTTAGCTAATGAGAAGACTTGATATTGTTAGATCTCACAGAATGACATTCACGGTCCCAGTGGTGTCCTGTCGTATGAAACGTGTTTTAATCTAACCAGAAAGAGAGACATGCGGTGAAAGGTGCATCATTCTGGATGAATCCGCAGTAAACAACTTCACTGCCAGTCATAGCTCAATCACACCCAGACACCACAGCTAGAACCCGCAGAATTATGAAACAGGATGTCATGCTACAAGGTCTTATTATTATCATATTATTATCCCAGTAAGTTTCATTCCAGCTGACATGGTATGCAGGATCCAGCGCTCGCTCATCTCACCATCATCGGACTGACCCTCCATTCCCAGCGCTCCCCAGTCCAGCAACAGGCTCCCCCTGCGATCAGTGCCCCGGTTGTTGTACCTGTCCCCGTCTCCGCTCCCGTGGCTCCGCTGCTGGCTCCACCCGTGCTGGGCAGGTCGCCCTGCAGGCCGAGTCCCGCTGCCATGGCAGCGCCTGAGGGGGGGGGGGAATAAACACGATCCTGAGGGAGGGATACACACGCACAGGTGTGCATTCACACATCAAGGTGGCTCCCAGCCTGACAGCAGTCACAGGATGGGTGGGGTGGGGTACACATGGGACCCCAAGAAGGTGAATCACAAGGGCCCCCTCGCCCAGACCTGCCCCACAGACTTCTGGGACTTGAGCACATCCCGACCGGATTCTCCAAGCTGCCCAGGGTCACATGTCACGGCATACGCGCTCCCACATCCTTGCAGAGGAGCGGAGCATGTGACGAAGCTCAGCGTCTCCGTAAAAGGCACTCAAAGCGATGGGGACAGCAAACGGTAAAAGCGACACCGTCACGGCACCCCTGCCGGGCGATGTGATCTGTGTCCCCCATCAATAAGTAACGGGACAGCGGTATTGCTTGTCTATCACACTGATCTCAATGAACATTTCTTGGCTTACATAAATCACACTTGTTAGGCCCCGGAGGGAGCCGAGTTACAGAATGTTTTGCCATGCGGCGGTTAAACATCAGGAACTACTGAATATCACTAAGCAGGAGATGACCTCTCGCCATGCTGGTGCAGGCAGTGACGATGATTAGCAAGTGAAACGATACACCTTTGTTTCAGGATTTTTCCCCCCATCTATAATATATTCTATGCGTACTAATGAATTATAAATAAAATAACACAAGGGGCATCCAAGTCGTATCCAGTTTGCTTTGATTTCCAGTTTCCAATCACTGATTTAACCAGATCGTTTCTACAGTTTTTAACCCATATAAAATGCATGTAATTTGTCGAAACACAGATTGTTTTTGATGCTGTAATACTGATACTAATAAGGGATTGAGATTAATAAGGATGATATTTCAGGAATTCGTGCAGCCTTACTGATAAGGCTGGGCCGTAACCCGATTCGAGGATTCATCCTCCTCGGTCCTGAAATGTGCATTTTTTTTAAATCTTCCTGGGAATCTGCACACATGCAGTGCACGACTGCATGGATGAATCAGAGCGTGGGATGTGGAACGCGTCCCCCGCGGGGCCGTGAATAAACAAGCGTGCACAGCGTTGCCATTGTTTACGTGTCTCTCTGCGTATTCATTCATCCCCATGTAGAAAGCATCCAATGTGTCCCACGAGAAAGAGCGAAGGGACCTGTAGTCTTTGGCTCTGGTGGCTGTAACACAAAACTGAGCCTAAAATATACGTTTGTTAATATTGATACAAATGCGGGCAGCTCCGCGGGCTGACACCCTCAGGTCTGTGGGCTTCATTCCTACGCCCTGCTCTGTGCATGTGTCATTTGCATGTTCTCACCGTGCTTGTGTGGGATTTCTCTGGGTACTCCTGTTTCCTCCCACAGTCATGTGGTGAGGTGAACTGCTGCCTCATTTTGCTCATAGCGTGTGTGTGTGTGTGTGTGTGTGTGTGTGTCTGTTGTGAAGGCATGTATAGATTACATTGTGGGGACATTCATGTGTTATTTTGACCTTGTCGGGACCATTTTTTACAAAACCTTTCACTACAATCAAAAACCCAAAATGCCAAATGTCTTGTATTTTGTTTGTTTACTTATAGTTAAGGTTGTCATTGTTGGGATTGCCCATAGAAATGAATGGACAGTCCCCACAAAGATATGAATACAACCATGGTGTGTGTGTGGGGAGGGGTTATGTATATATTACATTGTAGGGACCAAAAAGTCCATAGAAAAGTGATAAAAACCTGTTATTTTGATGTTGTGGGGACTACCTTGTGGTGGGATGTCATACCACAAGGGGTGTCCCCTGTTCTCTGCCCTGTGATGAACGCGCTCCTGGCTCAAGTTGGCCCGAATCTGGCTAAGCTAAGCATTTATGGATTACAGATAGGTAATAATAAAATGGGACTCAAGTCACATAGTGTTTATGCATCTCTGTATTAACGTTGCAAGCTCACCCACACAGTGTCGTTCATCCGGATGGAAATATGATCAAAAAACACCTAACTGCAAAGGTGACAAGAGTCAACAGGTATTTAACAGGTATTAACAGGCATTTTCTTACAGCCAACTCAAAGAGAAACAAGCCATATCTGGCAGACCATGGCCCACATCAACAGGCACTGTACAAAACGGGGTGGATGTGCATGGACGCAAAATGAGTCCTGCCGGAATCAGTGATGGACCACAGTCGGAACAAACGAACAAAAAATGCTCACGTTCCTGTTTAAATGTCGAAACCAGCATTTTCGGTAGCCATTGCAAATAAAAACCATCATTGAACATTAAGCCGAAAACCGAATGAAAAATACATAAAGGTTTCCCTGGGACTGAATGTGAGGCACCCAAGCATTGCTGGGCAGTGTGAGGCTAACGATTCGGAAAGGCGTTTGAGTGGGAAACAGCACGGCGTTGGAGGACAGGAAGACAATATTCTGTCCGCCTCACTGTAAAGAAACACCCCAGTGGCCTTCTGACTGCTCTTAAATAATTACTATAAGAAGCCAATTAACATAGTGTCATTGATCTTATTGTACATACAGGACAAGCAGTAAAATGGTGGCCTCTCTGACTTAGACCACAACAGCCATGCAAGTCTTGACATGAAAGAATGCGTGGGCATGCATCTTAATTGACCTTTTGACCTGCGTCAAAAGCCTGGCACACCAACAAACTCTGTGACCATTGTAATAACAGAGAGGCCATTGTTATATGTGGGTAGAAAGACTGTAACAGCTCACCAACCCTATAGCTCAGTTCAAGTTTCTGACTTGTGGGCTACAACTGAGTTGGTACTAAGGACATTTTAAAAAGGCACTTACAGAAGCTAACAAGCCCTCACCAAAAAAGGTTCCTTTAAATTGCACTTAATGTACATTTGTCCCAGTACCTAAATATAGACCACATATACAACAATACATAGGTCGTGCATGTTTTTTTTTTGGCATGCTTAACTGACTATATTTTTCCAAGTACATTGTTCCAGAATAACTGAATGGGCCTATTAAAAGGGTATTCTTCTTAAAAAATGTTTTCAGGAACATTTTCATTGGCAGAATCAACTATCAGACTAAATCAGACCTGGGCAACTGTCAGCAGGAAATGTATTTTAATGATCATTTTCATGACCAACTAAAGCTAGACTGGAACTTGATCGTTTTTAGGAATCTCCTTTTAAAAAAATACATGCAGAAATAAAGAGCATCAGTGTATTTTTCATGTTTAACTTTTAACATTGTTCACGATTTGTGAATAAATGACTGCACAGGTCTGTAATAATAGCTAGGCGGGCCAGCTTTTGCCCAGGTCTGGTCTAAGGTGACCATGGACGTCTTTATCATCACACCAAGTACCTTCCATATACTTAAACTGGACCCGATCTCCCTCATGTATTATTGAAATTATCTGCTGGAAGCTGCATCTGTGGGCCGATTTAATGGGATGAAACAATGAGAAGACAAAGACCCTTTCATTATTCACAGGGCCAAGAAAAGAAAAGACGTTTAGGCCCAACTGTGCAGATTTGCCCGAGTGCCTTCTCGGGTTTAATAAGCCCTCTCAGATTGGAGCAGGGGGAATCTCCATTGCTTTTTTAACGGCGACTGTGTCCGTCACAATATCACTGCAAATTTAATATCTAATCCTAAATGCAAATGAAGTCTGCCTATCCACCAGAGATGGTTAATAAATGCATAATAACTAGTTGTGTGTAACAAAAAAAAACAAACCTTGATTGAATCTGTAGAATGCCACAACTGAGATATGCGTTCGTCTACACAAAAACCGTTACTCCGCTTTGTAGCCCAAATTAGTTTGTGTGATGCACCTAAACTATGAAACACTTAATGAAAACACAAAGAATTATTTCTTTTCATATTTAGAACAGGACACCACAACATGCGCTCCTGGGATTTACCCTCGAGTACCGAGCCGCCCTCTATGCCTATAAGTGTTAAAGACAAATATTCTACTGAGAAATGCTTAATATTACTCCCAATACTCAAATTATTCGTATATATATAGTGCTTGAGTATAGTATTAATGAAATGCATATTTCAAATAAATAGAAAATATAAGTGATTTGTAGACCGCATAAACTGAGGTTTACCATACATATAAAATGAGACAGAATCCGCATATCAGGGGAATAAATCATACAGTCAATCGGATGATCTGTTCGACCTGGATTAAGATCACTTTTGCGCGACGACAACAAGGTGATAAGAGGAGATTACCAGCCAGAAAGAGCAGCAGTAATAGGAGGCGGCTAGCCGCTGCAGCATCGGCTCCTGGAACCTCGACGCCGGGAACCGTTGCATGCAACCAGGAAAGGGGAAAAGCCGCCCGAGTCCGGGCGGGACGGTGACGAAAGCCGCGTCTAATGTTGACTTACACAGCTGATCGGCTAGCCGCTAGCTAAAGAGCTGCCCCGCTCCCGGGGTGACGTGCACGGCGGGCGGGCAGGCAGCGCGCGCACCCCGCTAGCTTAGCAAGCCCGCTAGCCGCTTGCCTGTATCCCGCACCGACCTCCGTCGCTTCTGATGCCGGGATCTCAGCGGTCCATACCATAGTGACTAAAAATCAAAGCCGAGGAGATACTAGAACCGCCGACTCCCCGGCGCATCCGCCGGGCTTTGCGGAGATTAAGCGTCAGAGCGCGTAACCGGTGTGCTTCGCGGTGAGATATTTCCAGCCCGAATCATCCCCCATTCGCCGGGCCCGAAGCACGTGACCCCGCGTGCTCTGCTGCCTCCCAGTGATTGCGTGTTAGCGGCTCCATGCTGTCATATTTACTTATTTGTTAAGCGATCACGTTGCAATCATTATAAGTGAGGGATTTGCTGTATAGTATAATGCGTTTGAAGATATACTTGTTCCAAATTACAATAAAAATGCTGGTAACAGAGAATACTAGTGTATTGAATATAGGTAGTTTCGTTGCGCAGCTTAATTTTGTGCAGTCAGAGGTAGTTGAGCATGGATATAACTTGATGGGTCGGTTGGATCTGAAACTTGTAATTCACAGAAGTGGAAAAAAATCTTCTTAAAACCGTATTCTTAGCTCTGTGGTGGAGGTTCTCAGCAATTTCTGCATGGACCCCATCCATTTCCACTACCCAGACTTGATTTCAAGGCCTTTCCTCCATCACTACTTACCGGACTTTTTATTAGCTGAATCAGTGCATGTACGTATTTCTGCATGGAATTTAATAACCATACATTTACTGGAGATTTACTGCAGAATGCTCCTAACCCACTCTTCTCTGGAACTGGAGGTACAGTATCAGACCGGATCAAACTGTATGTTTGACATACCCTGGACTGGAAAACCACAGAGATGGAATTTAAAATTGCAGTGATGATTACACATAGGTAGAAATTACACCCCAAAACTGCTGGAAGCAAGAATTTGGGACATAGCATATCTTTATGACAATATGACAATACATTTTTCACTCAGACTTATGGTCAAAATATATTTCACCCTGAAAATGTTTTTTTAAAAAACTAACAACCCCAGAAACTTATAAGCCAATCTGATTTACAAATCATTTAATACCCCCCCCCAAAAAAAAAAAAATTATTTATTAAATATGTTAAAATGTCATTATATAATATCAAGAACAACAATAATAGGCCTAATAGTAGTAGTATACTATTAAATGCCTAATAATGTTAATAATAATATTACTGCTATTGTTATTATTATTATTGTGTAAAGTGGAAAAAGCTTTGAAATAACAGTCAGGCATTTATGGGATAAGTATTGTTACATTTTGGAAATTTTATAGTTTTGGTAGTACATAGTCTAGTTTTATATAATTAGACTGGAATTGAAAGTGTGTTCTTGTGATTGGCTGTAATCGGGGGGGATGCCTTCATCTTTCCTCCCTTAGATCCTGCCACAATACCAGTTTTGTGTAACTAAGGTGACTAGTTCAGCTTCAGTGGTCTTCTGGTCATCTGAACTCCATCCACAAAAATATCCAGTATTGTAAATAGGCAGGCAAACAGTTTGTTGGCTGTGTAAGAGGAGTTGGATATTAATTTCACTCAACATTCATGTGGTGGTTATTTATTTTTGTTCATGAAAATGGTATCAAATACACATTTAATAAAGAACTGAATGTTTATTGTCCAAAAATCACTCATTTATGCCATCAAGACTAATTTACTGAAGATTAAAACTGGAGTGAAAACCCATACCTTTGTTACATATGAAAACAATTTTGATTTAGATTACTACCTCAAGAACGTAAGGGAACTGTCAGTGAAATTATCAAGTTTCCCAGTTAAAACCAATGTGTATAGTTCTGCTCAGGAAATTATCCAAATGATCCATTATCCATGTATGGTGCCCCAATATTATTATTATTATTATTATTATTATTATTATTA